TTTCTTGATTCTTTGTACAGTATGAAAAATAGAGTCTTTATACCTGTGCTGAAGTTCACTGCTGTGAGGAGTCCAGTTCTGTCTCTCATTCTCTGGTCCAGCCTGTCTGCATCACCTGGAGACCTTAAACAAACAGATATATATGTAAAGTACCATGTGTACAAACAATATAACTGATTCTCTTCAGTTGAACATGTTGGATTGTGTATTGTCCGAGTCAGGGTCTTTTTTATTTTACTGTAACTTTGGAAGTTGTGCTTACTGTTTATTTGATACCCATTTGGTAATGCAATTAATAAAAACAACAAGGTTTGGGTTCGTTCTTCAGATGACTGTGACGTTAACGTGTAAGCTCAATAATGAACTCCAGATCAACCAACCATATTGTAATATCTAACTTATTTTATCGACCTCAAACAGAAGCCGTTTGTTGTACAGTATTATCCCACTTAACGCTTAACACTTGTCTATTTCGTTTTAACCTTTATATATATAGTCTATGATTTTAACTTGGAGGCTACTATTAGCATCGTTAGTACCGATGTAGCTACCACTCGCTTACACGCTAACCCAAGCCTTAACATTCATTACGTAGCTGATTAAAATCATTAAATCATAAATAAAGTACTCAAATTTCACTTACCGCAAAACCGCATTAATGCACCGTCTGTTTTAACCACAGAGCGAGTCACAATAGTCCGATATATAAGCATGAAGAACAAACAACCACGGCCGGATCAAGTTGTGTTCCCTGGATGAACTGAGCAGGCAGAGTCCCTGTAACTAGCTTCACGGAGCAGCTAGCAGAGAGACAAGAAGCTAGCAGCAGCAGTGATTGAACGGAGCTGTCACTCAATGTGACAACGCCCTAATATATGCATAACTTTAAGGCTTAATATTAATTAAACAGATGAGTTGAGAAAAAATTCACTCCAGGATCTTTAGACAGGAAGGGGGATCTAACTATACAGAGAATATGGTTTTTTGAACCACGATGTAAACATGTTTATTTCTGCTTTAAAGTTGGGCATTTTAACATGGGGGTCTATGGAAATTGCTCCCTTCTGCAGACTGCTCCTACTGGCCACTAGATGAACTGCAGTGTGTTGCACTTCGTATTGGCGTCCCGGCTCTTCCCCAGGGTTTGCCGATTGGTCAGAACCAAAATACCAATTAGCTGCATGACAAACGGTGCCACTATCTGCATAAAGAGAGATCTTGACTTTTTTTTACAAAAAAAACTGTTGAATGATGTATTGATTACGTCTTTTGGGGAAGCTCCCAAATCGATGTTCTTTTAAATGTGTTTTTATGTCATTCTTTTTCACTTCTGAGTAGCTCAAGGACTATAGGTATACTGTTCTTACTGCAAAAGAACAAATAGCTATTTTGTTTTCACATTTCACATGCAGCCGATGTAAAGTGAAAACAAGATCCATACCGATGACGATCCTGTGTTTGGGGATCCCAGCGTTGACCTCGCCCTGAATGATTAACCCCAGAGAGTTGCACATGTCGTCTATGGACTCTCGGTCCTCGTGGCAGTCCCTCGAGATCTTGTGACGGTCAAACCAGACAGTAGACAGAGCCCCTCGCATAGGGGTGTACGGCCTGATGGCATAAAGATGAGGGTCAGTGTTCAGCTACATGGCTGCAGCTTTACTACAGGCAAACTTGTATAATTAATGCAGTAAGAATAATATAAATGAAAAATGGGACAATGAAAACTTGTATTTCCTCCATAATGTTCGTACTACAAAGACCTTTTAAAGACATTACGTTTGAACTTACATTATCCAATGTAATTGATGAAGTTGACAAAAAAAAAAACATTGATATTTGATTTAGTCTAATCTAGACATACCGAGCTGGAGCTGTGGGGTAAATGATCCGGATGTGGTTGAAGGACAGATCCGGCTCAGTCACATCTCGAACCCAGGCTCTCAGCCCCCGTCCAGTGTCGCCTGCACATTGAAATCAAACAAAATTATATCAAGACCCTATCAATATTGCAAATGCATGTAAAATGCATACCAAGCCAATGTTTGATCTTCTGAAGAAATGTATCTTAAACAGGGTTCAGATGAGGTAGTCCAGAATAAAAAAAAACTGCCATCATTATTATGGAAAAGTCTTTACACATGAAATGTGTAAAGACGCATCCTAAAACCCGGAAGTAAACTCCTTCCGGTTCCTTCGACAAAAAAGCAATGCAATTTCTCCATAGGATTTTGGAAAATAGCTCAAAATAAGGTCTGTGGTTGACACGCATTTAAGAGACGGATCACGTTTTATTCAGTCGGATAATATACACCCTACTTTTATAATTTTATAAATCGTAAATCTAATCACCAGAAGCAAAATGCTAACGTTATGCTATAAACGAACTACAGCAGGGTCGCTGCTTCAACTTCACGCCAACTTAAGATCCATATTCAAAAATACAGATTCAAAATTGTACAAGTTGAAGCGTTTGTTTTAACAGTTTGCAGGAGGCAGTTACTTGCTGTCAAGCAGAACACGGGGAAAAACAAACTTAGCAGGAGTGTTTACGTGTTCGGTGTAATAACGTACAACGGCTTCAACAATTTCTGTAGTTCTATTCAGCCACATGTTAACAACCATCGTTTTTCAGACACATAAACTCTTCAAAAATCACCAGTGGGGTCACTGCTGATGTGTTTAATGTCGTAGAACAACACGTGATCCGTCTCTTCAATTTGCGTCAACCACAGACCTTATTTCGACGCATTTTCCAAAATCCTATGGAGAAATTGCATTGCTTTTTGGCGAAGGAACCGGAAGTGGTAAAATGCTAACTTACTTCCGGGTTTTAGGACGCGTCACTGTGGCGCTCTATAGAGGGGCGAAGTCACGCCCATCTACTTCCGGTCCATGGGACCTTATTTCGGAAAAATAATGTATTGAAGTCAATGGAGAGAGAAAACGTATCTTTCGATCCCGTTTGAATTGTGGCATGAATTACACATATGATGTTTGTCAATCTTAAAAAATAATTTCCATGTCAAAAAAGTCACAGTTTGTCGTAAAACTGTTGAAATATAAGACTATTAAAAATACGCAACTAGAAAGACTACAAATCCCAGAGTTGCGTAAGTGATGTCACAATTGTTTTCCTCCACTAAGAGATAGCTAAGATCAGCGCCAAATAGATATAATCCATCTATATGGCGCTGGCTAAGATAAGATAACTTTAACAAGATGCCTGTGTGCTTAGTACCAGGTTGTTATCATACCAGCAATGGGTCTTGCTCGTTCTTTCGCTTCCCGTCTGATGAAAGGACCAGGAGTGGCTGGATCAAGTTAGCTACCTAGCTAGTAGCTAGCACGGTAGTTAGCATTACAGCCTTGTCATTTTTATTTGCCTTAATATGAAGTAACATTAAGTAACCCAACATGTTAAATAATAAGAGTAGTAGTCATATTTTGTGAACCCTTTGAAGAGTACTGTCACCGGTGTGATCATTCTATAATACACAATTTAAGCCCGGGGGAGAAATGCTAACGCTAACGCTACATTAGAACCGGCGATCTGTTCTACTTCATGTTATCTGCACAAATGGTTGACATTAAACATTAAAAAGATCAGGCAGTTCAGAGAGAATCAAAGGAAGGAAGGCAGGCAGGCAGGCAGGCAGCTTTGCATGACATTCTTCTGGACGTGTTGATAGTGTCTCCTGAGTTGTCTATAATAAAGCAAGATACACATACCAAA